AAGTGATTCAAAGGAAAGCAAAATCTTCAAACATTTTTCAGTTTATATAGTGAATATTTGAGTTTGTAAAGAATAATAAAAATACTATTTTTTTGAATAGTCTAATATTCACTTTTCTTCAATTTATTTAGAGGAACAACACATATTTGATATATTTTTTCTTCATGTGTTGATTTGGAATAGAATGTGTAGTGTTCCCAATGCATTTGTGTGTATGGAAATAAAAGCTTTTAGAAGGATTTTGAGCTTTATTCACTTTTTTCAACACACTGCTATTATTTTGAACACAACTGTATGTTTATTCCCATGATATGTGTTAGCCTGCATGCTTTGTTTGGTTCCAGTATGTCTAGGATGATGTAATTAATCAGCTATGTTTCTATGTTGTAGACCGTTTACGTTGTATGCTTTGTTAGGTATGTGTACCGTGCCCTTGTTCTGTCTGGAGAAGAGATTCTGATGTCATTTACTAAATGATGTAATAGCAGCAAGGAAGTTGTTTGTGATCATGTTTGTGGTTTCACACATTAATCCTAACTGAATGTATTGTGTTGTCTGTGTGCAGGTCAGGATTGATCACACACACCTTTGTCTGGAATAAATTCATAAGAAACATGATAGCTAGCCACTTGGCTGCAGAACAAAGAACGTTTTGTAATGGATCTTTAATTATTAGGTCTTGACTGATACAAATCCATCAGAACAGCTAATGTGTATGTCTATATGAAGGTGGGTGATATTCATATAATATGTAAGTAGCACAGTGACTCAATGGTTAGCACTTCTGCCTTGCTGCATTGGGATCACTGGTTGGATTCCTGGTCAGGATACTATTTGGAGTGCAAGCACAGAGAGAACATGCAAATTCCATGCAATCACATACAGAAAGGTAATTTGGATCTTTTCTAAATTGGCCCCCAGCATGTATATGTGAGATAGGGGCTTTAGATTGTAAGCGCCTTAAGCTGGCCATAGAGTCTAGACGGAGTGATTTTCCTGCCTGCAATCACAGGAAAGAAAATCACTTGATTACCCCATCACTGACTGTCCCTACTGCAAAGCCATTGTGTTCTGAGAACACAGCGATTACTGCTAGTGGCTATAATAGCTGCTACCAATATTCGCATGTAAAATCCAACAGGATGGTTGTACTCAAGTTGATCAATTGGTGCTAATGTTTTCAGCAGCATACACCCAGGAATGAATGCCTGGAAGAGATTGTTTGCATTCCAGGCATTTGTCCCTAGGGTGCATACTAACCTAAACTTTAGTACCACTCATTGAGTTTTATAGGCTGCTAGCAGCAGGGTTGGACAGTGAGCCTGAACTATCCACCCATACCTAAACACTGGAGTCTCATACACCGTAACTAAATGTCCATTGTGTATGTGCATGCCTAACAAAGCTCCATTACTGTAGAATTGTCCTCCAAACTCATACTGCTTTCAAACCAATACTTTTGGGAGTCTCAATCTCCTTTGACCTATGCAGAGCTCCTGTGGTGATGTGAAGGTCAGCAGGAAAACCATGGACTGCCACAGAGAGCACAGCAGATTGACCCTCCTGGCAGTGTTGGCTTCCTAGCAGACTTTGGGGGACAATTCCTCACCCCAGACAGTAGAGGAGGAAAGTCTTTGTTTTCAGGTAACAGATTTTTTTTTTCCTTTACATTTAATATTGCCGACAGGGTCACTTTACGACTTGTGGGTTACTGTACGTGACAGTATCATTGTACATTGTGCTGCTTTAAGCAAGCTTGAAAATTTAAGGTAAAAACACAGATGTGATACCAGGAGCTGTGATATAGTTGCGGGGTTGTGCCCTGGTCATCAGCCCATATGGCTTATAATACGGACTTTCCGTTTGATATTTTGGGATTAAGCAAGCAGTTGGTACAATCAATTATTTGCAAGAAAAATAAAAATTTCATATGTAACCTTGCACTGTGATTCACATGAAGCATCATGCAGATGAGCTTTTTCTTTTTGCACATTGTCACGCTTGTTCATTTCAATGGGCTTCTCTACACGCAACAAAGTAGTTCATGCACCTTTTTGAGCTTCAAGCATCACACATTTTGAACCATGTGTTTTGCCTCATTTGTTGTGCAAAAAAACAAGCGCCTTTTGCGTTTGGGGTGGCATTTCCAACAAATGGCACCCCAAGAGTGAAAAGTGCTTTTGTAAAGCATGCAAAACCAAGCAATTTTATTAATGTTCACAAAATGCTATAGTATAAATGCAGCCTAATATTTAGCTTCAGAGCCCAGAGTATAACGAGGACATCTCTACCAAAATTGCAAAGTATGAATGCATAGGAAAGCTACAGCAAGAAGGACTACATTCAGTGATCTTAATGTGTCTATACATGTATGCTTAGGATACTGTAGTCATCTTCTATACAAAATATTAAGTATTGGTTTTGGACAGACCTCTCCTTTAAGAGAAAAAAAAATCATATGTGTGTGCTATATATATATATAAAAAAATGACATGAGGAATGTTTTGTAACTGTTCCTGGGAGACCAGTAATTAATTTTTCCCCAACTGGAGCAAATTGGATCATGCTTCCTTGGAGTTTTTGCCTTTTGGATCCGCTGTGTAGAATTGTATATATGGAAATTTTCTATTTCTTTATTTTATAATTAGTTGAACTAGATGGATTTTTTTGCCTTTTTTTTTCTCCAACCTATGTAACTTTGTGTGTAAAAGTATGTTTTCTGAAGGCAATCCCAGATCTTTATAAGCTTCAGTTTATTATTAATGAAGTATATAAAAGACTAATACAGTACATAGGACATACAGCAAAAAAACAGAAACACAGTGTCGAGCTGTCACTTGCACAAGCTTTTAACACTGAAGAGAGCAATGGAGCAAGTTTATAACAGACATTAAATGCCAGGGATCACATAAATGGTCACAGCAGAAACCAGCACTGTCATATGGCACTAGAAGGTAAAGATATTGTCACAAACAGACATCTTTTTGTTTCAATGACATGGAATGTAACAATACACTTGCAAATTGTGTAATATTTCAGCATTCTACAACACTGACCCTGTACAGTGCTGTGATGTACATTGACACAATAACTATATCCAGTGAATGTTTTTTTTATTTTTTACATCATCCATTAGCTGCTAATGCAAAACTTGCTGCAACCAAATACTGCTTAGTGTAACTGGCATTAAGCTAATTTATAGCACATTGCTCCACTGTCTTATTGCACGTTCCCATACCACCAAATGTGGTTGTTTAGAATATAATACATATTGAGATCTATCTGTCCATAGACATGGACGGTAGACTTAGCAGCAAAAACTCACTCTTTAGACACTGCCTAGTAAAATATAGATTATTGTAAACATATGTCATCAGTGCAGCAGATAACATATTGCTTTCCAGAGGATGGAACCAGCAGAGGTTTTGTGGATAAGCCTGTTTTGTTTTTTTTTTTTAACTTCTTAGGAAACATGTCAGCCTACTGTATTTTCTTGTACTCCTAAAAGTTTATGTTGTGATGTATTAGGCTATCAGAAAGAAACTCCTCCACAGGCTCTCTCAACCAGGGTTCCTCCAGAGGTTGCTGGAGGTTCCTTGAGCTGTGACCAATTAACCCTCAATGGCCAATGTCAGATCCAGCGGCATTTCACCAACTAATTTTTTAGCTGAACTGAAGGGTGGCATTTAGGCAACCAATGTAAGTGTGGCATTTTTTCCCCACTGACCACCGAGGATTTAATTTTACCAGGGGTTCCCCGAGACATGAAAACTACATTTAAGGGTTCCGCTAAGGTTAAAAAGGTCAGTACCACTACAGTAAGTTTGATTTCCAAAAATGCCTGAAAAGGACAATGATGTTGGCTGTCATATCCAGTTAAACATTTTTTTATTTCTGAACTTTTTCTACTAAAGGACAGCGGGCATATTACTGAAATCTTGCCTTCTTTTACATAAACTACCAAGTCCAGAAATATATATTGATCTTTCTAATATAAAAAAGCAAATAAAACATTTTTAGTTTAAGATAGAGAGGGATTATAACACTTGACAGCTTTTTATTGCCGTATATGTCTCAGTTAGGGAGAGTCACCCTTTATATGTTGTATTCAGAACAGGAAGATTAGGAAAATCTTCCAGTTCTGGCAACAACCAGGGATTCCATGATTGTGAAGGGATTTCATTTTACTTCCTGTTCCACTTATTGGGGCAGGAAGTGAAAGGAAATCTCCCCAAGGGGACACATGGCCAAAAAAAAAAAAAAAAAAACTGGTTATAACCCTCTTCACTTGATCCAAAGTGGGAAAAAAAAAACAGTTGGTCTTTAGTACTATGTATCGTATAGATAAGGCAATGCCAAGACTAAATTGTGTAGCAGGATCAGTGGTTAAGTGAGATTCACATCTTAGAAACAGAGCTAACAGTACAGAAGTTATCAAGGTCAGTACTAAGACTTCAATATGAAAGGTAGATGTACAGATGCTCAGCTACATAATGTAGGGTAATGCACAGGACCTGGAAAATAAAAAATTTTGTATTTGAAGAACAAGACTGATGGGGCATTTGACACATTGCTCTTTTCTGTTAGGAAAATGTAGCAAATAAAAAATGCTCCTTTGGCATCAGCCTTAAGAATTATAAAAAATGTACTAGTAACAATTGATTAAGTTAGAACTGAGGTAGGTAGTCTACCAGGAGACCTGCTCCCTAGGAGATTAAGATCATAAAAACTTTCCCTACACTTTGGTTGGTCATTCATTTCCCTATAATCTGTGTGTCCGTTTATGTCAGGAGGTATCCGCTATACATTGTAGTGAATAGCTTGTATTAGGAGTAGAGCTCCTGTATTCATATGATTGAACACTTCCCAAAGTTTTGGAGCTACTAGGTAGTGTGGAAGAGGTAAGGCATCCAGAAGTGTCCAAGAGTCCATCAGATTTTATATATTGATCACTGATGGAATATGTGAACTTCAAAACTTGCTTTGTATGGCCTAAAGTCTTAGCAGAACACGGATGAAGGATCATTTGTATTATAATAGTATGGAAGGATGGAAATTAAAGCCCCTTCAATGGAAAAGAGATGCTTGTCTTCAGCTTCTGGACAATAATTATGCATAAAGGCCGCAAGCCGTAAGAGAGATATTCAATGTTATGGCCTGCCCGTCCACTGGACACTACAATCTGAGCTGCGATTTCCTCCTCAGAGGCTGGTCCAAGGTAACTAGGGTTTTGTGGAGTGGCTATGTACACCATGGCAAGTACTGCGCCTTCTTCCCCCTCATCCTGAGGGTAGAATTTAACCAGTTTCGTGATGTAGCCTCCAAGGACAGACTCTCGTACATTCAAATATTGAAGAGAAGATTCAATCTGATCTCCACGCACTTCATATGCAACACCCCATGTGCATTCCTGAAATAAAACAAGACCATTAATAAAATGCTCTAGCTCTGTAACCTAAGATCATGTATAGGATTCCTAAATTACAATCCATTAATAACCTCATAAAAGTCTAAAAGGAATAATTTAGTTAATGCAACTAAATGAAAGTGGTGTATTAGGTTCACATTTTGCATTGGGTCCAGTAGACATACCTATCTCTGGCAAAGAGGTGGCTTTTCCATGCATAATTATTAGCCGTATTGTTTTCTATTTTTAGGAAGGGCAGTCATCTCTTGGGGCTCATACAGACAGTTTGGCTTATACAGTGAAAACTGGGTGTTGGGGAGGCACAAGGGCAGTGTACAGCACACTGCCAGCAACCTGTCAAATCAATAACAGGCTGAAATACATGGTGGCTGTATTCTATTTCAAGCAATACACAAATTTAGGGGACAGGGACATATAGCCCTAAAAGTGAGTACCGCCGCTTGGAACAGTATCCAGCCACCATGTATTTTCAGCCTGTTACTGATTTGGTAAGGTAGCACCTGTACCACCACAATATCCAGATTTTACACTGTATGAGGCACAAGGGCAAGAGCCCTTATCACAACAATTTAACCTCTGCCTGCCCAGCTTCCGCATCCCTTTAACAGGGTCTTTACATTCAGGGGGCAGGAAGGACTGACTGATCACATGACTACTGTCCTAGATACTGGCCTGAAACAAGTATGCAGATCAGGAGTTCTGACTTCACTTTCTTATGTTTGTTCCAGGTCAGTGTCATAAAGAAGAGAAGGGGGTATGTTAAGAAAAAACGCTAAATACAGTCTACAGGGAGTGTTATGTAAAACTCTAAGCTCCTAATTAAAGTAAAGTTTGTACATTATTGTGGTAATAGTAAGGCTATCATTGAATTAAACTCACCTCATAATCCTCTTGTAAGGTCACCACTCGCCCGGGCTGCAAATAGAAGAAAGACAGCGATTGAGAATCCCAGCAAGACATTCTGTGCACATCGCCCTCCACACTCCCCCTGGGAATCTATGGGTGCGTCCCCCACACAGCACATTTTGCATAAAAATAATAAAATACATTTTATATATATATATATATATATATATATATATATATATATATATACATATACATACATACATACATATACATACATACATACACACAAACTTTTTTAATAAACAAATATATTACAATTCCTGTCCTACATCTATAAGGCAGAAATGTACACATTTATTATTTACATCTCGCGATCCTACACAGGGGCGGACTGACCATTTGGAGACTCGGTCACTGCCCGATGGCCCGGGGTGAATATATATATTTATATTATTCATATCACACATGTTCTATGGCATGGTCAGTGTCATAGGGTACTGTGCACTGATACCCCCAGGACCTTTTTTCTAGGGTCAGGATGCAGGGGATGCTCACCATTTGCGGGCTTCCTCTGTGGAAGGTGTCTCCCTGCCAGAACTTGCGGCTATAGCCAGATATGAAGCCAACTTTACTGGAAGTGAATTCAAAATCGGGTCTCCACACCAGGGATCCATAGCCGAATATCCAGAGGGACTTGTCCCGGGAGGTGTGCTCCTCCATAGCTGTGGTTGGGTTGTTCGGCATTAAGCCCGGCTATCTGACACAACAGAGCGGCAATGTAATAAATGGTACTGATGCAACGCTTTGGATTTATATAGACACGAGCTACTATATAGCCCCGCCCACCTGTGGGCCCTGACAGCTTACCAGCCACTCAATGCAGCTGGTAGGCAAACTACACACCCATCTCTCCAGCCGATTGGTCAAAGTTAGTGTCTGTTACAGAGCTACACACGAGCCTTTCTCGGTGCTGTTAGTATGATGCAACTGCCTGAGCTGATTTCAGATCGTAGAGCAAGCACGGGGAAGATTGCATCAGGCGGCCGGCCGGGTGTCTGGATGTGTGCTGCTGAGATTTTTACTGCGGGACAAGGCAGAGGTGCTACTTGTAGTTGGTTGTCTGTATTATGCCAGTAATAATTGGAATGATGAGGAATCAAAAATGATGAAATGCTGGCTGTTTGAATGAACTATTTTTTTTAATGTCCTCTTGCACTACAATTGCATATAAAACATTATGCAGCATTAGAATGTAGAACAGAATACACACAAATTACACACAATGAGAAACTCAGCAGAAAAATCCAGCTTTCAGAGCGATCGTCAATGTGATCGTTTGTACACAGCTTTTGGGAGCAGATCACATTTCATGAGAAATTATCCAAAGGAACAGGCACAAAAATGTTCCTCGCACAATACCAGAACCAATGACTCTTGTTTAACTGCTTGTCTACGAGCCACTTGTACCCCCTTCCTGCCCAGGCCAATTTTCCGCTTTCAGTGCTGTCGCACTTTGATTGACAATTGCGTAGTCATGCAACACTGTACCCATATGAATTTTTTTTTTCCCACACAGAGCTTTTTGGTGGTATTTAATCACCACTGGGGTTTAGTTTTTCGACTATAAACAAAAAAAGCAAAAACATTTGACAAAAAAAAGTTTTTGTTTCTGTTATAAAATTTTGCAAACAGGTAATTTTTCTCCTTCACTGATGTGCATTGATGAGGCTGCACTGATAGGCGGTGCTGGTGGGCACTGATAGGCAGCACTGATTGTCAGTGCAGATCTGGTCTGTGACATTTGCCAGTTTGCTTTCACAGCGATCACTGACAGCGCTGGGGGTGTGTTCTGCAAGGACATCATGTGATGCCCTGGACAACTTTTGTAGCTGTCTTTCGGCTATAGCGTGGTTGTAAAGTGGTTAATCAGTACAGTATTAGAAACAAATCAATTGACCAAGTCGTTTATGCTCAGAAATGAAAGAATGCATTACAATACAAAAAACACAATATATCACTCCCAAAGTTGTATTCTGTTGTAGTAACCTCTTCATTTTCGATATGACACTAGCATGCAAAAAAACAAAAACAAAAAAAAAAAAAAATTTTTGTCCAATATTCTCAACATGCGGGCGAGATTTGAGTGTGTGTATACCTGTGGAAGATCACTTTGCAGAACAAATCAATGGTGGTCAAATATGCCCAAATACATGGCTCTTACCACCTAAAAAGGCAGGGTAAAAATTGAATGGTGTGTCCTATTTAGCAGGCAGTATTGTCACCTAGCACACTCCATTCAGATGAATACAGATCACCTCCTCTCTGAAAAGTGATACTATTATTAAAACTGCTTCCACCTAAAGGTGCACCTCAAAATGTACAAGGCCAGGGCTTAGAGTTGCACATATTTTTTCAACCAGGGATACAGGACTATAATCAGTGGTATAGCTAGGGTCCCAGTGTGAGATTTCAGTTAGCACTTAGTATCACATCTCCATAAGCCTTTTTCCACATCTATGCATCCATGAGCAGTGGCACATATATGTCAGAAACCTGTCTGAATATTAGTCTGAAATGCACAGCAGCTGAATACAGCTGCACCCAGTAGTACTCATGTTTAGGACCTTCTGTAGAAAGGTTCAGCAGTGCTCTGAACGAGTACCACTCGGTGCAGCAACCACATGCTGCATATTTTGCCTGTCCTATTTTGACATACTGCTGCCAGAGGGATTGGATGCCTTCCTAGCGCCCAAAATCATTGAGATGTGATGCATATGGGCCGCAGCGCTACAGTGCATGAGAACTAAGGAACTGGAACACAAGGCAACAAGTCCTGGTTTCTGGAGAATCAAGCACTCTGAAGGTCTTAATATGGTGCTGCTGGGACTAACGGCTCTCTGGCAGCTGCAGATACTTATTTTTCTATGTAGTAAAGTGTCCGGGAGCCTCCTCAGACACATGGCCTATTTTGCTTAGCATGTCCCTAGAAAATAATTCCATATGCTTAGCATGACCTTGGCTGGAGTATCCAGATCATTCTTCTGCATAATGCCTGGGACACACAATGAGAATATCAGATGAATGTCTGTTTTTTTCCCATACAAATCTCATATTGAAAACGAAGAGGTTACTTATGTTACATAAATTTCTGTAGGACAGAATACAATTTTGCAAGTGATGTAAGGTATTGTATTCTCTCATTTCTAAGCATGCGTGCTCTTGGTCTCTCAATTTTATACAGACAAATATTGTTCTGGTTAAAACGAAAATCATTTGCTCTGTTATCGCGTGAGAAAAATTTTCATGCTTGTTCCTTCAGACATCGTCACATGAACTGTTATGATTGACTCTCGAAAACTGTGTATTAACAATCAGACGATCCCTCCGAAAGCGATTGTTTTTCATCCAATCATCGTGTGTATGGGGCATACGCCTGAACAACCACTGCTTGTGCTTAGCATGTCCCTAGCAGTATGATGTGAATTCCAGGCAGATGTAAAATACACAAATTATAGAAGCTCTGTATCCATTAAACATCATTAAATGACTTAACTTTGTATTCGCATCTTGCAGTCCCATGTACAGCAGTTTACAATATATGTACGCTATAACACTGAACTTCTCCTGTTTAGTTTTTGATGGGTTGAATGTACAATTTAAAATGTCTTGCTAAATCTGTTTTATAATTGTAAAAAATACCAGTTGATCCTGAAAGAAATCTTGTGAGCTTTTCATTTCCTGGGTGCTTTGCCTCTGCCAGCTTTTAGCAGGTAACATTGCTCTCATTTCTGTCTGCACTACAGAACAACTCATTATATATTATAGATCAGGGGTGGGCAACTGTGGCCCTCCAGCTGTTGGTGAACTACAAGTTCCATCATGCCTCTGCCTTTGGGAGTCATGCTTGTAACTGTCAGTTTTGCAATGCCTCATGGGACTTGTAGTTCCACAACAGCTGGAGGGCCACAGCTGCCCATCCCTGTTATAGAGAAATGGAGAGGGGTGCTTTTTTGTAGTTCTACACTTCCTATCCTAATGCGACAACCTCTCTCTTTCATACATACAGTACAACGAGTGAGAGTTGTCACCCTAGGACAGGAAGTGTTACTGGCAGGATCACCAAGTGAAAATATAGGGAACAAATCTCTTAAAAAATACTAATGCAGCTATCACATCTAAGTGGTGGTAAGCTGCAATAAATAACATTTTTGCTCTGAGCTGTGTAATTCTTAGAGCTCAATAGATAGAAATACACGCCTTTGGGGGGAGGAATAGTAGTTTAGAGAAGATAGATAACATTGTATGTGCTTTTTGGTTATTTATATGCTTATTAAGGCTTCATTCACACTAGTGTGTATAGAGAAGATAGATAACATTGTATGTGCTTTTTGGTTATTTATCTGCTTTTTAAGTCTCCATTGACACTAGTGTGATTTCAGATGTGACTTGAGTTGCACAGAATTGCATGACAATGGAAATCACATTTTCAGTGGTGTTCATTCAAACCAATGCAACTCAGCACAGCATGATTTTGGAAATGTTCCTGTACTACTATGGTGTAATTCCAGTGCAATTTTGTCCCCACAGAATATGCAAACCACATCTAATTGCACTGAAAATCGGATTAAAATCTGATTGCAGCTGTGTAAACCTAGCCTAAATACAAAGCATGGAGGCCCACACCCCTTAAGCACAGAGTGTATCTACCACAGGTCTCTAGAAACTCCTAACAAGGTAAATTAATCTAGACTTGCTGCTGCCAAATCATTCATTTTTAGCAGGTTTTGCTCCACATTACAGTGATAAGTGTTGTATTTTTTTTTTTAGTTAAACGTGCCCATCTGCCACCAAATACACTTATAGGATTTTCGATACGATGTAAAAAAAATGTATAAATACTTACTTGTGTGTAGGAACTCAGTTATGATGTTTAATATAGAACTTCTATTCATAACCTTTCTTGAGCCAAAGTATACTACAGGAATGAAATGTTAGGCTACAGGAAGCCATCTATACCGTACTTTGGAAACATGAATGTGATTGGAATATGTACATTGTAGTTACAGTTGCAAGAAAAAGTATGTGAACCCCTTGGGATTACGTGGATTTTTGCATGAATTGGGCATAAAATGGGCTCTGAACATCATCTAAGTCACAACAATAGAAGAACAGTCTGCTGAACATAATACTACACAAACATTAGATGTTGCCATGGTTTAATTGCACATAACTTGTAAACATTCACAGTGCAGGGAGGAAAAAGTATGTGAACCTTTGGACTTAAAAACCGGTTGACCCTCCTTTGGCAGCAATAACCTCAACCAAACGTTTCCTGTAGTTGTAGATCAGACCTGCACAACGATCTGGTGTAATTTTGGACCACTCCTCTTCACAAAACTGTTCCAGTGTAGCAATATTCTAGGGATGTCTGGTGTGAATCGCTCTCTTAAGATCATGCCACAGCATTTCAATCGGGTTGAGGTCAGGACTCTGACTGGGCCACTCCAGAAGGCATATTCTGTGCTGTTGCAGCCATTGTTTTGTTGAATTACTTGTATGCTTTGGGTCATTGTCCTGTTGCATCACCCATCCTCTGCGGAGCTTCAGATGGTCGTACGTTTTCCTGCAAAATGTCTTGATAAACTCTGGAATTCATTTTCCCATCAATGACAACAATCCATCCAGGCCCTGAGGCAGCAAAGCAGCCCCAAACCATGATGCTCCCTCCGCCATGTTTTACAGTGGGGATGAGGTTTTGATGTTGGTGTGCTGTGCCTTTTTTTCTCCACACATAGTGTTGTGTGTTCTTCCCAAACAACTCAATCTCGGTTTCATCTGTCCACAGTATATTTTGCCAGTACTGCTGTGGACCACATCCAGGTGCTCTTTTGCAAACTTCAAACGTGCTGCAATATTCTTTTTGGACAGCAATGGCTTCCTCCGTGGTGTCCAACAATTCTTGATTGTAGGTCTTCTGAGAGCTCTTTTCTGCGAGGCATGGTTCACATCAGACAGTGCTTCTTGAAACCAGTAAACCCAAAACAGGTGTGTGTTTTTTAAGGGCAGGACAGCTGTCAGCAACACATCCAATATCATCACACTGATTGGAATCAAGGTTGGCTCACTCCTGGCTCTAATTAGCTCTGGGAGAAGTCATTAAGCTAGGGCCTCACATACTTTTTCCTCCCTGCACTGTGAATGTTTACATGTTATGTGCAATTAAACCATGGCAACATCTAATGTTTGTGTAGTATTATGTTCAGCAGACTCTGTTCTTCTATTGTTGTGACTTAGATGACGTTCAGAGCACATTTTATGCCCACTTCATGCAAAACGCCACGTAATCCCAAGGGGTTCACATACTTTTTCTTGCAACTGTATAGTTAACTGCCCCAATTTAGCAGTCTAATATAATAAGAATATAATATATAAGTATAAAGAAATTCTATTTCGTATCACTAAGGCTGTCCCCTGCACTGTGCAGGACTGAGCTGTCAGACTGACCGCTTGGTCCTGCAGAATACACTGACCAATGCCGGCCATAGACGGCTTGAATGTCGACCGATTTTTTTGGGGAAAAAAAAGCAGAAAAATCGGTTGTTCGGTCGGCCGGCGTTACCACCAACGGTAAAAAAAAATCGGCCGACAAAATCATAAAGTTCACCCCATAACTTCTGTCCCTTGCAGGTCACGGCTCATGCTCAGGTTTTTTATCGGTAAAACAATTGGCCGATTTGCCCACCATTGCCGGGAAAATTGGCCGATCGTCAAAATCGGCTGCGAATTTTCCAACATGATCGATAAAAAAATGTGCAAAAAACCCAAAATACTGCCGCCCAATTACCCCACTAACTGAGAAAATTGGCCGATTTTTTTTTTTTTTTTTCGGCCGCAAAATCGGCCAATTTTCAACCCGTCTATGGCCGGCATTAGGCTGGCCATACATTATGCAATTTTCTTGAGATTTTTGGTTTATATTTACCAAAAACCATATAATAAGAGGCTGGCCATACACTATACAATTTTCTGTTCAATTTCTGACCAATTTCCTTTAGATTTACCTTCAACTATGTAGTGCAATGGCCTGCTTAATTGGATACACTTGAAAGTGTTGTTCGGGTTTGACCTATTGTATGTTTTTTGGTAAATCTAAAGCAATTTTCTAAAGAAAATTGTAAAATGTATGGCCAGTCTTAGCTGGTTAAAGTAACAGCTGCCTACTTTGAATGTGGATTGCCAATACCACTACTGATAATCAACACACAACGCTCTCCCACTGTGTCCAGCAGGATTGGGTTGTCAGTTTGTCAATCCACTGCTGCTCTTCATTCATTTATGAATGATAGTTTCTGTTGTAACATTCATGTATTACTTTCTTTTATTTGTAAATACATAAGAAAAAGAGAATAAAAGCCAGACTAACACTCATCCTCAAAATATAAATACTGTTTTGTATCCTTAAAAGGGTAAGGAACCTAGTAAATTATTATTATTTTTATTATTATAGCGCCAACAGTTTGCTCAGCGCTTTACAATATAACGGGAGACAATACAGTTCAATACAAGAGGGTTAGGAGGGCCCTGCCCCTTGAAGCTTACAATCTAGGAGGGAGGTGGCTCAACATACATGAATGGCAAATTGAAAACTCTATTGAAAAACCTATGCTATACAAAAACCAACTATCCCCAAAAAAGAATAAAACCATAATTGGCAATTATTAAAAAAAACATCCCCAAAGCAGCTGCAGGAAAAATCTGAAGCGTCACCTCCCAATGGAGAACACATACATTAGACCCAAATTCTATGTTATTTATATATTGATCTATAAAAATATGTATTCTATAGCTTGTTTGTAAATGGACCTCCTCCTCCATATAGGATTGTCTAGCCACATAATGGATAGAATAAGATTTAGAGTCTATATCGGACATTAAATCCACACGTAGTAAAAAAAAAACTGCATCCAATATATTCTTGGAAAGCTCCCAAAACAGAATGCTACGTCTTCATGTATATATCTGTGTATCCCGTTTATATCATGCCATGCCAATGATTATTGTGTAGAGGTATTCCAACTGTATAATTTAACAGCCAAATAAGGGAGCCACCAGCCTGCTGAAGATGCTGGAAGACGCCAAAGGCACTTGGACTATGTATCTTGCCATTTTATTTTTTGACTCGATTTGTTGATCATAAAATCATTATGTGAGAAGATGCATCAAGGGAGCCACCATCTGGCCTGAAATGCGAAAAGACTCCATAGGCCATTGGACATTATTAAGGAGTGTTAAGGACCCAGGACTCTGCATTCACTATATCTGGTCTCCAGCAGTACACAGAACATGGAAGTGCAATTCTTTTAGTAAATATAAACTGCTAAATATAGTTTCTCATCAACAGTTAGAGCAGTTCTGTGACTTCTATCAATGTCCAGCAGAGCACATGTTAAAGCTTGTAGGAGGAGGTTTCTTTTTGATCTAGGAGGATGTAGAACCCCTGACCTCTGTCTGGACAGTGCTGATTGGCCCCGTGCTGATCACATGCACTCTCCCAAGAAAAAAAGAAAAACCTCTCTAGCAATACACACCAAACTGAACATGTGCAGAGCAACTCCACACAATATGTGTTATCAGGAGATAAGGAGACACTGGAAGAAGGGGAGGATCAGAGAAGTCAGGATCAAACAGCATTTTTACACAATGCAGAGGATTAACCGCTTAGGTTCCACAGTGAGTATAACATGCATGCTTTACTGCATATACAGACTGATTTACTGTTGTGGTTTAGCAACACTTTAACCATCCAGTTGTGTCTCAGGGCATCCAAGCTGTGCTCTTTAATGGTGATGTTTCATGGGTGTCTTTCAAAGAATGCCCCATAATCTCTTCTTGGATGAAGGAGATATGAAGTGAGAGGCATTTTAGCAGGTTGCTAAATGGGAAGAAGGCTGAAAACCTGAGTGGTTGCTGACCGGAACTCCAGCTTCTTCAGAGGTAAATACAGCGTGTTACTGTTATATGAATCAAAGAAATGTAAACATAATTTTCGTTCCTTTTTAACCCTTCATTACGTATAGTTTTTATTAAAGCAGAACTAAATATGTCATCCATCTTGTTCATTCAGTAGTTGCTCTGAAATAGCCAATTCATATTCAAATCAAACCGTTAATTCTCTTTGGTTTCCTCTTTGTAGACCAGTGTCTGCTATGCCTCCTATTCCCCCCCCCCCCACTGGTCTTGGCACATCTTTTCTGTAGTTCTGACTCCAGGAGCAGTGATGTAATTCAGCCCCACTTGTAGTGGTCGGCGGACCAAGATTCTCACACACGTTAAACATGTACATGCCTAGTGTACCCACCCACATTCACTACAATTCCCTGCAGTTGATGTGAACTGCAGTTTCTTTTACTACAGAGAGAGAGAGAGAGGAGAGGACATGACAATCTTTGCTGTTACATCTCCTTGGCAGAGATGATGCTGTTATCTTTTGAATTAGAGATGAGGTCATGAAAATTCAATTAGACCTTTCTCCTAAATTTTAAGGATTTCAAAATGTTATTAACAGTTTAGTGTTTTGTGTACGGGGGTGATTTTTTGTTTACCTATCCTGGAGTTCCTCTTTAAACCTCATTCTTGTGGCAGTTTTTTTGCTGATTTTTTTAAAATGTTTGTTTGTAAACTTTTTTGATTTTCTCTCCTTCGTTCTTTTTAATGCCACATTAAGAAGTTTTTTTTCCAGAAACCTAGGACTATCTTAAATAGGAATAATTCAACAAACTCTCCTTTAGAGGATTGAACAGTGCATGTAACTCTTAAGGGTAGTGAGCAGCTACCATACTTGATAAAAAAAAAAGATAACACACTAAAGAGTATTTAATGATATGAAATTATAACAACTCTTAAGCAGCGCTCTACCACCTCGTGCAAAAGTGAGAAGCGCAAGTCCATCTTTGTGTTAAAGCTCCACCCACAAAAGAAAAATCTCTTTCTCCCCCCACAGTCTTCTGGGACACGTGACAAGAAGACTGCAGGACCATTCACAATGCACAGCGCTACTCACACATGCACAGTGAGCACCCAGCTGTAAAGCCGCAAGTTGTCACAGGTGGGTGCCCACACTTCAGATGCTAGCACAGGGGACAGAAGATGGCCCGTGAACCAGCTGTGGAGAGTACACCGCTGGATCCTGGGACAGGTAAGTGTCTGTTTTTTAAAAATCAGCAGCTACAGTTTTTTGTAGCTGCTGACTTATTTTTTTCAGAGGAGACTGGACTCCGCTTTAAACATAACAGATAGCAATCAAACTGAAATGTCCACAGATCACAGTCCCAGCATCCAGTTTTAATTATCCACTCTGTTCATAGCTGTACAACAGGTGACATCTGTGACGGGTGTGGCGTCAGACCCCAGCCCTTCTCACCAACTTGTGACCGAAGGACCAGCCAATCTAAGACCGCGCTGCCACTTGCGTAACAATGCCACTCTCAACTGTGCCCTGCACAATGATTTTCCAGCTCGCTGGACCACAATCTATGTGCCAGCAGCCTGAGAACGATTGTTACTGGGTTAGGTTAATTATGCAATTAACCCTTCACACTGCCACCACCACCTTTTTACAGAGAAGGAGGAAACTCACAAATCTTAGCAGTAACACTATGATGTTTGAATAAGCCTCTGTATACACACTGCCCCGCAGACAGATGTATGCAGAGGTTTTAAAACACACAGTAGCACTCTTCAAAGACAGGGATTCTTTTAGTTTGCATTAAAAGTTTTAGAGACCGTTTCAACACTTTTCAGAAAATAGGATTTATTACTAAAAAGGTCAAAATGGTGCAATAAAAATATTTACAGAAAAGATGTAGCAAATATATACAGTGAGGAACAGAAGTATTTGAACACCCTACGATTTTGCAAGTTCTCCCACTTAGAAATCATGGAGGGGTCTGAAATTCACATTGTAGGTGCATTCCCACTCTGAGAGACAGAATGTAAAAAAAAAAAATTCAGGAAATCACATTGTATGATTTTTAAAGAATTTTTGTCTTGCACTGCTGAACATATTTGAACACCTAAGAAACAGCAAGAATTCTGGCTCTCAAAGACCTGTTACTGTGCCTTTAAAAAGTCCACCTCTACTCCACTCATTAATCTAACTTAGTAGCACCTGTCTGAACTCTTTAGACACCTGTCCACCCTTCAGTCAGACACCAACTACTACCATGAGCAACTACTATCATGGGCGGTGTTAGGTGGAGACCCAAGCTGTGACCAAATCCCTCCCAAGTTTATACCATGGTCAATAACCTTCACTAGGAAATGTAGCATCCTAGCCACTGGCAGATTAATATGCAGAATCATATTCTGAACGTCCAGACACCAAATATGGCATATCTTACCATTCCAGATAAAAACATATTGCTTTCTACTCTCCTCCTGTAGACGCCACATAGGGGTGTAAGGTATCAGGTGACTTGTATTAAAATGACCTATCTGAATATATGCTTTGTTTTAATGTGCCCTGTTCCTGTTGAAGTTTATGAATTTGTATGAAAAAGTGATTCAAGTGGGATGTACGTTTTTATGGCCACTCTGAGGTAAGGCTACATGTCAAGGGACTGACTGAGTTATAGTTTTACGACCGGCAGATGAAAGAGTTTGTCAGACCCTCTGGCACTAGGCTTAATTGGGATTACAACCATGAAGCCCATCCAGCTGTGCCCTATGCACTCGTGAACTCAGTGCACACACAGGCCACATTCCTTGCAAGGGGAGGGGGGACTGGAGGGAGTGAGAATGATATTTGCAGAGTCTGATACAAATATGATTGTATCTATACGCACAATTATCACAACATCCACTCCCCCTAAGACACGACATTCACCGATATTATTTGCCTCTCATTTTACTGATCAGCATACATCACATAATCGGTACATTCTTTCCTGTCATAGGATCTCTCTTCCAATCTAGGACTACCAGCACCTCTCCTTCAGCTGCTATCCACTAGAGCTCCAAAGAAAGAACAGCCCACATAGTGTAACCCCATTCAAACCATTTATTAAATAAAGAATTCCCAGCTAAAATTACACTCATGAAAAACTAAAATCAGCAAAGCATATCAATTATAGAAGATTTTCAGTATCGCGCTCAAGGGCAAATAACTGGTGTTCCCAGCATCTCATCACCTCTGCGCTGGTCAGCATCACTTCCAGCTGGCATGCTGACGTCACTTCTAGTCATCTTATAGCCCCAACCTGACATGCTTCATCATTTTGAGTTCCTCTGAGTGTGGCTATGGACCAGAATTTATAAGCAACCATTTCTGGTGCTTAACCCCTTATTGCCTTCCGATACTACCGCTGAACTAGTACAAACACTCATACTGACACCTAGTACACAATAATGATTCTGCATTTACTATTTACCTTAAAATACACTATATTGCCAAAAGTATTGGGACACCCCTCCAAATCTCTGGATTCAGGTGTTCCAATCACCTTCATGGCCACAAGTGTATAAAATCAAGCACCTAGGCATGCAGACTGCTTCTACAAACATTTGTGAAAGAATGGGTCGCTCTCAGGAGCTCAGTGAATTCAAGTGTGGTACCATGATAGGTTGTCACCTGTGCAATAAATCCATTCGTGAAATGTCCTTGCAATTAAATATTCCACGGTCAAGTGATAGTGGTATTATAAAAAAGTGGAAGCAACTGGGAACAACAGCAACTCAGCCATGAAGTGGCAGTCCATGTAAACTGACAGGGTGGGGTCAACGCATGATGAAGCACACAGTGCGCAGATGTCGCCAACTGTCTGCAGAGTCAATGGCTAAAGACCTCCAAACTTCATCTGGCCGTCAGATTAGCACAACTACAGTGCGTAGAGAGCTTCATTAAATGTGTTTCCATGGCCAAGCAGCTGTATCCAAGACTTACATCACCAAAGTGAAATGCAAAGCGTCAGATGTAGTGGTGTAAAGCACGCCGCCACTGGACTCTAGAGCAGTGGAGATGTGCTCTCTAGAATAACAAATTATGTCACTGTCTGGCAATCCGATGGAAGTGCCAGGAGAATGGTACTTGTCTGACTGCATTGTGGCAAGTGTAAAGTTTGGTGGAGGGGGGATTATGGTGTGGGGTTGTTTTTCAAGTATTGGGCTTGACCCCTTAGTTCCAGTTAAGAAAACTCTTAAGGCATCAGCATACCAAGACATTTTGGACAATTTTCATGCTCCCAACTTTGTGGGAACAATTTGGGGATGGCCTTTTTCTGTTCCAACATGGCTGAGCCCCAGTGCACAAAGCATGGTCCATAAAGACATGGATGAGTGAGTTTGAATTGGAGGAACTTGACTGGCCTGCACAGTTCTGACCTCAACCCGATAGAACACCTTTTGGGATTAATTAGAGAGGAGACTGCGAGACACTCCTAAACCTTGTGGACAGCCTTCCCAGAAGAGTTGAAGCTGTTATAGCTGCAAAAGGTAGGTCAACTCAATATGGAAGCCTATGGACTAAGACTGGGATGTCATTAAAGTTCATGTGCATGTAAAGGCAAGTGTCCCAATACTTTTGGCAATGTAGTATAAATCAGCTCAGAAAACAATGAAGAAACATATCTAAGAATCTCCCGAGCTGGCTACAGTTCAAAATACATCAATAGTTAAAATCCATTAAAAAAAACATAAAATACATCTTACAATGCACTTACAAATACAATACTTATAAAAACACAAATAAATACCAAAAATACATATCATTCAATTCGAGCAAGAGCTTCAGG